TCCAAGGCCAGGCTGAGTGGGGCTTGGAGTAACCTGGCTCTCATGTGAAGGGCAGTGATTGGGATTCCCAATCCCTTTAAGCTGCTGAGCAGGAGCGATCCATCCTGGCCATCAGAGCTTCCCATGGTGCTTCTGCTGTCAAGATTGCTCCTGGCTGCAAACTCCTCTGCTGCCCCCAAATTTGCCCTTGGACCTTCTTACTAAAATCCTGAAAAGCTCCTCCACCACCTTCCCTTCATCCACGAGGTGGGAGACAGTGCAAAAGGATCAGATCCATTAGGAAATGGTCTTGCAGGGATTTCACAAGGAGCAGATGTGGGGGTCTCATTCCATGCCTTGACATTGGTCATCCCAAAATCCACATAATAGAAGCCAGCAGCAAATTGTTTTTAGTCAGGGATGCCTTTCCCCATGGAAAAGAGGGAGATTGGATCCCATACCATCACAGAGCATCAGTGTATGATGGTCCTGCTGCAGCCTGGGATGTCTTTGGTTGAGCGTCTTCTTCCTTCAGGGAGATGGAATCTCCTTTGGCAGAGATTTTCAGTTCTTTTTGGAGCTGATTTGGGTTACAAGTGGGAGTTTTCTACCCCCTATCAGGAGCTGGGACATGCTGGTGGCTCCTTCACTCATGCTCTAATAGTCCTTAACCCTTCTGTTTTTTCCCCTCATGCCTGTTTGGAAAGAGCAATTTGGTTTTATCAGAGGTGTTTTGGTCTCTGCTTTGCTTTTTCCCTTGGGGGAGTTCTGCTGCATCCCTTTAATCTCTGAGGTTTTCCCCGCCGCTGGGGACAATCCTGGCAGTGTATCCAAGGTTCAGCTTCTGCTCCTCAATTTGCATTCGTCCCTGCTCCCGTCTCGCTTCCAAGTGCTGGAAGATCAATGTACCTGTCACTCACTGCTTCCCGTCTTGCCTCCGATTGGGATTAATGGCACAGCTTGGTACTGAGCCCCGATGGAGGCACACAGGAGGGGTCGTGGGGCCAAGGATTGACAATGGGTGACCTTGTGGCACGCAGGTCATGACTTAATTTAGTTCTTTTTCCCATTCCTGTGCCCATATAGGAAGCTTTTCTATCCCATATCCTGTTCCTGAAGCAACAGTAATCGTTTGGATTTGGGAATCTGCCCTCCTGAAGTTCCTGTTGTTTATTTAACTTCCTTTTTCCCATCAGTATCTGAACAGGATTTGCTCCACTGTTATTGTGGTTTCCCTCATCCAGCCTGAGCATCATCATCTTCCTCTTGCCTCATGGATTTAGAATCACAGAATTATGGAATAATCATTAAGGTTGGAAAAGAGCTCTGAGATCATCAAGTCCAAATGTTAACTCAGCACTTCCAAGGCCACCACTAAACTGTCCACAACTGCCACATCAACACGGCTTTTTGGGACATGTTTCACTGGACCAGGTTGCTCCAAGCCCCATCCAATCCATGGGTGGGGCAAGCACAATTTCTTTGGGTAACCTGTACCAGGGCCTCCCCACCCTCACATGGAAGAATTCCTTCCCAATATTCCATCTAACCCTGCCCTCTGGCAGTGGGAAGCCATTCCTCCATGTCGTTTCACTCCAGGACCATGTCTAAAGTAATTTTCCATCTTTCTTTTAAGCCTCCTTTAAAAGAAGGTTTCTCCAGACCCTTCTCCAGGTGAAATATTCCAGGAGCGAACTCTTTTTATTCCCTCCCTGCTTCAACTTCCCCAGGGGGCCAATTCTTGGTACTTCTCTCAGGAAAATAAGAGAAGGAATAATGACCCTTGCATCCAACCCCTTTCCTGAGGGATGCGTGTGCTGGTGGCTCCTGGATCCTACCTGCTTGAAGCACCCTGGTAAGAGATTTTGGCAACAAATTCCCATCTCAAGGTCAGCCTTGGACAAGAGGAAACAGCTTTAAGTTGTAGCAGGGGAAGTTTTGTTTGGATATTAGGAAAAATGTCTTCACTGAAGGGTTGCTTGGGCTGCCCAGGGAGGTGGTGGAATCATCATTCCTTGCGGGATTTAAAAGCCTGCGTGGATGTGACACTTGGGGACACGGTTTAGTGGTGGCCTTGGCAGCACTGGGTTGATGACCTTAGAGGTCTTTTCCAACCTTAACAATTCTACATTTGGAGTTTACACCAGGATTTTTTTTTCCCTGGGAACAGGAGGCGAGAGCGGCGCCCGTGGGATTCGCGGCTCCGCAGAAAGCCCCGAGCTCAGCAGCGCGCGGCCCTGGCTGATAAATGATGCTCATATCCCATTCGAATATGATGCAAGCAGTTTTTTTGTAGTTTGTCTTCCATGGCGGTAGTAAAGTTTTTAATTAGGAAAGCTAATGAGATCGATTAGTCATTAGAAGTGACCTCTGGATCGCGGCGAGGAGTGGGGATGTGTGCGCCGGGCTGATAACGGGGGACGCTGGGGTATTGTTTGTAATAAAAGCGTGAAGTGTTTGATTTGAGTGAAATGTGCCACGGGGAATACATCACGCGGAGAGGAAAAAATTACAACCCTGGGAGCCTGTAATGAAGGGAATTAAACCAACATCCTGTCTAAATAACATGATTATCTACACAAAACCCCTCAGCTAGCAAGTAATAATAGAAAACGGAGCTCTTCGGAGAGGCTCTTTGAGGAGGTGGTTAATGCCGGAGTCGCGCATCAGGCACTTTCCAAGGAGCAGCTTCGGAATGAATACACCATCCAATTACCTCTGGGAATAGAGTTTACCAGGTGCCAGCCTGTTTTGGGGAAGGAGGAGGAGGAGGGGGATGCCTGCAATAATTTGGGATCTCTCTTTCTTGTCAGGCAGGAGTTTGATGCAATTCTGGGTTGATTGGTGGCAGCTCAAGCTTGTGTGGGGGCAAAAAAATGTTAATTATGTATTCAGCAAATTCCCAGCTTAGTTATTCTGTGAGGTTGGAGTGGAGGAGGGAAAGGGGCAACTTCTGTTGTTGCTGGTTGGGGAGGATGTAAGACTGTGGCTCTCATCCCTTCCCCGGTGGGATGGAAGTGCTTTGGGTACGTGGTTGGTGCTGTATCTGTGTGAGGTTAGGTGTGTCCACATGTTCTGGGTGACAAAAGTGACAGAAGGCATATTTAGGTGGGATACTAGGGAGCAATTCTTCCCTGCAAGTGTGGTGAGGCCCTGGCAGATGTTACCCGGAGAAGCTTTGGCTGCTCCATCCATCCCTGGATGTGTCCAAGACCAGGTTGGATAGGGTTTGGAGCAGTCTGGGATGGTGGAAGATGTCCTTGCCCATGGCAGGGGGTTGAACTGGATGGTTTTCAAGTTCCCTTCCAATCCAAACCATTCCATGAGTCCATGATTTCAGGACAGTCCCACAATCACCATAGCTGGGATTTCATCGTGTGTGTGGTGTTGGTCCCTGCAGGGGTTAGCACCTCTTTCTTTTGTCCCCATTTTCCTGTCCTAAATACAGTCCCCTGAAAGAAAAAACTCCACGTTTGCTGGTACTTGGGAGCAATTTTAATTGTAATTAGAGCTTCAACTTTGCAAAGGCTTTAAAAGCCCACGCAGAGGTTTGGTCACTGCACTGAAGAATTTGATCTGCTACAAAAAAATCCTGAGGTAGGGAAAGAGCAGTGAGATCCCATTTGCTTTCCATGTTCTTTCCTCTCTCCCTTCTTGCCTCACCTCTAAAGTGACCTCTGAAGTGCCTCACTTGTAAAGTGGCTGCAGTTCCTCTAAGTCATTGAATCATCAGATGGTTTCTACTGGAAGAGAACTTGGAAGATCCTTTAGTTCCATGATTTATCCCATGGGTTCAGATTGCGGAACGTTGTGAGCGTCATCTTTACCACAAAAAATTCCAGTGATTTTTCTGTCACGGCAGAGCCTGGTTTTTGCCTTTTTCCATCACCAGGGGTTATAACTTTTTTTCTGAATTTGGGAATGGAAATTTGTGTTGCCTGATCCCTCCCAAAGCCAACACAAGTCATCAACTTGTTGGGAATGCTCAAGAAGGAAAGTATTCCCTATATGAAACTGTAAAGCTGTGGATTGGTGTTGCCACTGTTGCAGGGCAATGGGGGAGCTGTTCCCTCCTTTCTAGGGAATGGTGTCCATTCCCTAGAATAGACACCATAGGAATGTATTTCCCTATTTTTCCTAGTCTACCTGGGAATCCACCTTATTCTCCCTCCTCTCACAGAGATAAACATGGGGATGGGTTGAATGTTTTCAGTGGAAATAATGCTCCCACTTTCCCCCTCCCAACCTCTCCATAATTTTAATGAGAGGATCTCCAAGAAAAACAGCCAGCCCTTTAAATCAGTTATAAAACCCAGAGACCGAGGCTCAGCATGGAGTGTCAGCTTTAATTATCTGGGCAGTTACAGCTGTATGTTATAAAAGTCGGGCAATTAGGTGCATTCCTGAAAGGTTGGGGAAAAAAAAAAAAGGCTCGTGGAGGAAAACCACAGTCAAACATAGAACTGTTAATTGCACAAGACATTCTGCGAATAACCCGGGATGTAGATCATCCTGCAACATAGAGAATCTGGGAATGGGTAAGGTTGGAAGGGAGCTTAAAGCTCATCCAGTTCCCTGTCCATGGAAGGGACCTTCCATTATCCCACGTTGCTCCAAGTTTTGTCCAACCTGGACTTCAGCACTTCTGGGGATTAAAAGTATTTTGAAAATGCCAAGGATTAAAGGCATACTTTTATTTCCAGTGTGGATGTTGGGATCAAGGTGTTATTGGTGAATCCATTATTCCCGTGGTAGTGTTTTGCTGATGGGCTGGTGAACCAGTCCTAAGCACATCAAGACCTTTCTGTTACTCTGAAACTTCACCCCTTTTTTTTAGGTGCTAAAATGTTGGATGCAGGACTTAAGTTGGATGTGGGACCAATGACCGTTGAACTTGATGATCTTAAAGGTCTTTTCCAACCTTAAAAATTCTGTGATTCTGTGAGAATGTCCGTGAGGTCCCTCCTGTGCCCATCCACACCTAAATTTCAGGCCTGTTTTTCCATGTTTTTTTCTCCTAGGATCCAACTCACACTTCATAAGGAGTCCCCCAGCCAACAAGGTGATAAAGACGCGCTACAGGATCGTGAAGAAGAATGTGGTGTCTCCAGCCTTATCATCCTTCACCAGCCCCATTCCCACCTGGAAAACCAGGCGCCTTGTGACATCCAGGTAATTCTGCCATCCCTGGAATGCAGCTGCTTGGGATGTAGGAGCCACGGGAACTCCCACGTTGGCTCTGTGTTTTTCTGTTGCATCTTCACTGTTTAATTTCTCTCTTTGTTTGGTCTACTCTGAGTTTATTGACTTAAAGTGTAAAATCATATTAGGAATTGTGTTATCCTGAGCTGGTGCCAACAGCTTATGCCTTTGGCTTCCTATGTATTCCCTCTTGGAATTAATTGTTTCCATGGTGCAGTTAAATAAGCTGAAAAGAGGATGAATAAACTTGTGGATGTTGGTGATGAAGAGGAGCATGTTGGATGCTCCAGACTTCCACTAGAATGTAGGTGCTGTCCCAAACTAGTTTATTTCCAGTTATCTGGATGGGTGAAACATCCAGAAATATTTTGGCACTGAAGTTGCCGTAATCTTGTGTTGGAATATTCCTAAATCCACAGAGGTGGAGATGTTTCTAGGGAGTGTCTCAGAGACCAAGACAATACCGGGAGCTTGTGTAAAGCAGGAAGGTTGTTAAAATAATTGATTCTTTAGACCAAGGTGCAATTAGAAGTGATGGGTTTGGTGAAAATACAGATTTTGGCTGGTTTTAGGTCAGGAATATCTTGTCCTCCCACTGAAATGCCAGGAGTCATGGGAAGTATTTTGGGCAAAGAGAGTCTGTTCTGCTCTTCTCCAGCTTTTTACTCCCTGCTCCAGGTGGTTTCCTCCAAAAGTTATTCCCCATCAATGCCCTGGCTTTTATGGTAGAGATGTGGAGGGACAAAAATCGTGGTAATTGTTTTTAAAGCCTGACTTTGCCTGATATTTCTCTTTAAAAGTGAATTTTGGGATTCCCAAATCAGTATCTGAAGGGAGGGTTGGTTTTGGAAGAGTTCAGCGTGATGAAGCAAATGGGATAGACAGAGAGATTGGTAAAAAAGGTTGGGTCAATTATTGTGTGTATTTTCCAAGCTCTTGGTTGAGAAACTCCTTATCTCTCCTGTACTCTACTTGTCTCAAAGAGCTTCTTCCAGTATGGAAACTGGGATCCTTTTGGGCTCATGGTCAACCTTACCTGCACCACCTCCTCCTGTGTCTTCACATTCTACTTTTGCCTGTGGTATTTTCCTACCTGGGCATCATCCCTGAGATCCACAGGTTTTGTTCTGGGTTGCCACCTCCATTTTTACATGCTTGGGACCAAATTCCTGCATTTCCCTTTCCAGAAACAAACTGTATAATTTTTTGCCTGCTCCATCATCCTGCAATTTCATGGAATCACAGAATCATTTGAGTTGGGAGGGACCTTTAAGATCATCTTGTTTCAACCTTCTGCCATGGGCAGGGACACCTTCCACTACCCCAGGTTGCTCCAACCTGGCCTTGGACATTTCTAGGGATGAGGCAGCCACAGTTTCTCTGGGAAACTTGTGCCAGGGCCTTACCACCCTGGAAGTGCCCAGGGCCAGGTTGGATGGGGCTTGGAGCAACCTGAGATAGTGGAAAGTATCTCTGACCATGGCAGAAGGTTGAAACAAGATGATCTTGAAGGTCCCTCCCAACTCAAACGATTCTGTGACTTTGAGCCTTAATTAATAGAAAACAGCTCATCCTCCAGCTGTTGGTTTCAGCTTCTTCCCTCACTCCTTGTTACCTCAGATCTGGATGGTTGATGGATGGAGGATCCATGCTGAGAATCAAGGCAGGGATAAGCTTTGGGCATGGAATTCAGAGCAGGAATGTCTGGGGTCTGTGTGGTGGCTCTTGCTCAACCCATGGTGATTTTCCAAGGAACGACCTCGTTCTGCTGCGATTGGCTGAGAGCTCCCACTTGTAGGATCATTTTCTCTGTATTAATCTCCAACTTCATTAAATTGGTGTAGTTTAGATCTTACAGCTGCTTCAGACAAATCTTGATAAAATGCCATCAGCAAATTAAAACAATTACGTTTTAAAGAAGCCATAAATCTCCATCTCCCAATTACCTTCATTGGGGGTGATCAATCATCTGGCCTGTCTGGAGGAAGCACATGGCAAATGCTTCTCCTGGAGTTTTTACAGGATTTTTTGCTCCATCGTTCCTATCTTGGATCTGTCACAAGCAAGACGCCAGGATCTGCTTTTTTCCTGATTTTCTTTGCTCTTCCCGAAACAAGGAGAAGCTCTGGTGATAGTGGGACACCTCTTTAGTCACCTCAGTTTTATTTTTCATACTGAGTAGTCAATTATTTTTAATATTTATATATTTCATTTTAATAATTGTGTTTTTATATTAATTTGATATTTTTAATATCCTCTTCCAATTAAGCCAGCAGTGGGGTGTCAGCTGGTGGTGCTGCCCTCCAGTGCTACTCCCAAGCTTGTTCTGAGCTGGCACTAAGGAGCAATTTCTTCCATGAAGTCCAGGTTTTTGGGTATCTGGAAGTCATGTGCCAGGGTTTTATTTTGCTGGGACATCCACGATGTCGCCCTTTTTGCCAATAAATCCTCAAATCACCAGACTAAGATGAAGAGGGATGTGGCTTTGGGAAATGAGTGACAGGGAGAGTTGCTGGAGGTACCTGATGTTGATCCCTTGGGAATGAATTCCATCCTCCCCTTCTTGCTGGGTTGCATAAAACTGGTCCCTGCTGCTGACTTTTCTTCGAGGCGATAGGTGGGAGTATATTTTAAATTAATTTTACTCCACTTTTTGTAATATTTTTGTTTTAAATAGATTTATAAGCAACTCGGGGCCTATTTCTCCAAATTTATGAAGATAATTTTCACTCTCCTGATAAGGTGAAATTTACACCTGCTATTTCCATATTAATTCACATTGCTAAGTGGATCTAATTTTCTTCCGTTCTTCTATCTGGTGAGTGTGGCCTTTCCTAATGCAATTTCCCCCTCACTAAATCACTGTGATCGGGAGTCATGATCGAGTTAAATTAACTTAAATTAATTTACTTAATAAGAGCTCCAGATCATTGTGAATGAGGTTAAGATTTATTGATTCTCCTTTTCACTCCTCCCCCTTATCTCCCGCGGCTTTGCTGGGAGCGCAGCTCACAAGGGCTGTGATTTGCTGGCCTTAAATTTCAGTCGCTCCTGGTGACATTGAGGTTGATCATCTCTTAAAAATCCTCTCTCCTCACAGCCTCCCTCTGCTGGGAAAGGGATGAGGGATTTGCCATAGGGGAGTTGGGATGGATGAAGCGTTGTGCTGAGATTTGAGAGTGGTGCTTCTCCTGCTGCCAACCTCTTTCCATGGTCCATGTGGATGTGGCCACCAAAAAAATGGGGTGTCCACATGCCACAGACCTTGCACAGAGGCAGCAGAAGACTTCTGGGGTTGATGATTGGAGGGATGGAGCATCTTTCGTACAAGGAAGTGCTGAGAGAATTGGGATTGTTCAGCCTGGAGAAGAGAAGTTTCAGGGTGACCTCAATGCAGCCTTCCAGTCCCTGAAGGGGCTGACAGGAAAGATGAAGAGGGCATTTTTGCAAGGAGTGACAGGACAAGGGGGAATGGCTTCCCACTGAAAATAAGTAGTGTTAGATTGGATATCAGGAAGAAGTTCTTCCATGTGAGGGTGGTGAGGCCCTTGCACAGGTTTCCCAGAGAAGCTGGATCCCCAGGGAAGTGGTCCCAAAGCTTTCGGAGCTCAAGGAGCATTTGGACACTCTCAGGCACTGGGTGAGATTTTTGAGGTGTCGTGTGCAGGACCTGGAGTTGGACTAGATGATCCTTGTGTGTCCCTTCCAACTCAGAATATTCTAGGATTCTATAAACTCCTTCAGAAGACTCCAGTCTCTCTCTGTCTGGAGGGCCAGAACACTTTTAAGCCACATTTTTGGGAGCAGAGAGCCCTTTGAGTTGAGCTTATAGACCCTCAGTGGGGGAATGAAACACTGACCCACTTTGAGGAGTTTTCTTCTCAAATCCTGCTGCAAGTGTGCAAAACAAAAGTCACCTGTCTGCAAATAATGAGTTGTGTCTGGCACTGCTGGGGAAACTGATATTTCTTCCTGAAAACTTTGAGGTGCCCCTTGAGGGAGAATCCTACCCCTCCAGCACTATAAATAAGTAAAGAACAAGATAATCCAACATTTGTCAGAGAAATGCCAGCTCAGGAGAAAGGAACTTGTCAGTTGAGGATTTGCTCGTGTAGTTTAGTTTAGTTTTCTTTTTTCCTTTTATTTTCTTCTCTTTTGTTCTGTTTTGTGGCCTGGAGCGCATTGAACAGATTAAGATGGAAACAGTTGTCACCATCCCTGGGGGTGTTCAAGAAATGACTGGATGTGGCACTCAGCGCTCTGGTCTGGTTGACACGGCAGTCAAAGTTTGGACTTGATGGTCTTTTCCAGCCTAAAAGATTCTGTGATATGGTGATTACAAGGATTTCTTCCCCAGGTTTCAAAGATCTGAAGCTTTTAGGAATTCAAACTGAAAGATGAAGAGGGCGATGCAGGTTTTGAAATGGGGTTCAGCCACATTGGTGAGTGCAAGGACCACTTCCCTGGGAAAGGGGAGATACAGCTGAGCATCCAAGAGGAGGAGGAACCACCATCCCTTCCAGTCATCCTCTGCCGGAGGTTGGGATATTGTGTTCCAGGTCACTTGGACACACAAACCTCCTTGTCCCATCCTTTCCTTTCCTTCATAGTGGGTGGTTTTGGGTTTCCAATTTCCTTTTGCTCACTTAACAACATCTTTTAGACACTGATTGCGAGCTGGCTGACCCAACTCATGATCCAGTTCAGAGAATCATGGAATGGTTTGGCTTAGAAGGGACCTTGGAAGAGCATCTGGTCCTGCCATGGGCAGGGATGCCTTCCACTAGACCAGGTTTTTCCAATCCCTATCCACATTTCCATGGGATAGGACCATTTCATGCAGCCCCTGTCATCCATTCCCAGAGAAGCTTTCCTGATTTTCCATTCCATTTTTCCAGCATTCCTTGAGTGCTGTTACAAGTTTCCCTGTGGAAGTGATTTCACTTCCTTGAGACAACAGGATCTTGTGG